TAAATATATCTTGATCCCATGATATTTATCCAAGAAGGTAGTGTGTACTTACCATGCAAAATGCTGCTTTTTTATTTTTTTATTTTAACCAGGGATGTTAAATCACTGAGCGATATTCTCAGCCCTTTTATGTTATATTTTGAGACAGGATGTCTCTAAGTTGCTTAGGGCCTCACTAAGTTCCTGAACTTGGCTTTGAGTTTGAGTTACTCCTGTCTCAGCCTCCCAAACTACTGGGATCACAGGCTTACACTACTACTTCCAGCTGCTGCTCTGCTTCCCTACCTATATGAGCATGGTAGGGAAGGTGAAGGTGGAGGCATAGGTGACTCATCTGTGGCAGGAGGTCATAGAATCAAAAAATGCTTCTGACAGTGAAGCACCTGTTTCTGGAGCTGGGTCACCCCCCCGCCATTATTCATTTATTAGATGGGGGTCTCTCTAGGTTGTCCAGGTTGGTATCTAACTCCTGGGCTCAAACCATCCTCCTGCCTCAGCCTCCTGAGTGGTGGGATTACAGGCTTATATTAATATTCCACACCCAGAAGGAGCCATTTAAAAATTCTCCACAAAAATCTTTCATGCTTCTTCTGTCTCTGATCCATCTATACATCTTCCAGCAAATCGTTCCATAAGCTACAATTTAAACACTAGACTCAAGCAGTTGTTCTATAACTTTATTTATTCAAGCCCGATGCTACTTGATAGAATAGCTCTTAGTATATTCAGAAGAGTAATAGGGTGAGAGACTTAATTCCCAATATAGCTGCTAATCCCATTTAATTCCCTGAAGTCTTTCAGTCCTAGGTTGTTTGTCCTTTCTTTCTTCATTGAAAGCCTGGGGAGTCACAGACTACAGGAATGGAGAGTAAGAAGGTACTGGAGGTCACAATTTGTTGGGAAGGTGGTGTTTAGTTTATTTAGGAGAACTTTCAAAGTATGGGACATTTAATTTTACTCTAACAGCACATTTCCTTTATTATCCTATAACAGCAGACTATTTCCAGGTTGTTTTCAGTCTGTCTTATATGTATAAATTCCATTTTTGGCCTAGATAAAAGTAAATTCTCTTTGATCTGTAAATGTGTATTCTTTGATCATGAGACTGGGTGGTGGTTATGTTTTCTTATGAAGTCTACATGTTTCATTATCCCAAGAATCTGTAAGTGAATTTTCTGATACTTAAGAATTTTAAAATAAGTAAACATGTAGAGAGCAGGGAAAGTGGATTAGATTCATATGTAAAAATAAAATTTGAGGGCTGGCATAACTCAGTGACAGAGTGTTTTCCTAGTATGTGTAAGGCCTTGGGTTCTTTCCCTGGGACCACACACACACACACACACACACACACACACACACACACATATACACACAAAGATCATTTCTATGCATGTAAATTATGTCAGGTATAACTAAATATCATTTATGCAAATACTTATAAAAGTCTGGTGACTTCTTTAGGTTTCTATAAATAGCTTCAGTTCTTGATGCTATCATCCAAGTATAGTTTTAGCTATACTATGTATTTCCTATTTTTAAAAAAAGCAGAATTTATTACATCAATCACATCATATAGTGACATAATTTCTTGAACTTTTATTAATGCATAGTTATAATATTTAAGTACCTGGTATTTTGCTTTTTCTTTCTTGATTTCCCCATGAATCTTTTGATAAAAACCTCTCATCTCCTATGGAACTATCATTAGATCCAGGCAGTCTTTTCTTCTCATTTTGTCCTTATAAGGCTATCCTGTTTTATCACTTCCTGCTTCAGCGCCCGACTTTTTCTCTTTCCTTCTCCCTGCCCTGGGGTGGATGCTTGCTCCATGTGGCAGGGCTGTAACTGTTCACAGCTGTCTGAAAGGGCTGTGTGTGGACTAGGAGCAGCTTAGAGTTTTAACTTTCATTTTACAAAGAGCAGGCAAGTTATAACTGGCACTTACTTCTTGCTCTTCTAGAACACGGAAAATCTCCCCCAGCACTTTAGAAGGGGGACACTGACTGTGTTAAAGAAGAAGTGGGAGAATCCAGTACCGGGAGCAGAGTCGCACACAGACCCTCTGCGAAACAGCAGCACTGAGGTTAGACACAGAGTCACCCATCCTCCTGTTGAAGTGACAAGCAGCTCTGCTTCTGGAGTTGACCACGAGGAACAATCCCAGTCCAGACGCAGATTTGGATCACGTCCTGAAACCCTTACTCAGCGCCGATATCCCGGCACTGAAGACAGTGAGGATCTTAAAGACCGCACAACAGAAAGCAAAAAAATGGAAAATTGTCTGGGAGAGTCCAGGCATGAAATAGAGAGATCTGAAGTCAGTGAAAACATAGAAACTTCAGGCAAAATAGAGAAATACAATGTTCCACTGAACAGGCTTAAGATGATGTTTGAGAAAGGTGAACCAACTCAAACCAAGGTAAGAACTGGGCAGATTTAAAACTTGAGAAAGCCAATTCTGGTAGTAACAAAGTTGTTTTACTAATCTGAATAGTCGGAGTAGAGTTGAATATGTGATCAATATGTTTCTTAATTGAAGTTAAATGAGTTCATAAAAAGTCTCAAATGAGTTATTTACATTGATGTTAAGATTTATGAGTCTCTGACTCCATTTCATATTAAATCAAGTTCACACTGGGGTTTAAATTGATATCTAGAAATGAAGAGAGTTGGATACTGATTGGATTATGTATTTTTGTACACTTGCCCTTTTAATTTGTCTTCCTGTGTGCCTTTTGTCATTTGTAGCCTTGGGGGTGGAATTATTGCTGAATAGCTCTCTGCTTGGACACAGCTGCAGACAGAGTGTTAAGGCCAGAGTTTAAAATTAAGACTGAGGCTTAGTTGTCTCTTTGCTAGCTGAATCCCTTCTCTTCTTCTCAACTTCCTCATCTGTGCCTTCCAACAAGTGTTTTCTATCAGCTAAAATCCTCTCCCAGGAAAAATCAATGAAGATAGCCAGACTAGCTGTAGCTTTCAGGAGTTTTGACTTGCAAATGCACAGGGTTGCATTTTCCTACAACTGCTAATGAAATTTGATCCTTCATGTGGATTGCAGACTGAGTCCCCAGAGGGAATTACTTAACTAGAAAATGAGTTGCATATGCTGGTAACTAATAACACAATCCAGGGGCTGCAGAGCTGGTAAATTTTTCCAGTTTTCTCATACTTTCCTACATATCTGGCTTTGTGCACAGGGATGGTTTGTTACAACAATCATTATAATGGGATAAACAGAGCTGACGGGTAGCAAAGCCATCATTTACTCTAGATTCCATTTAGATGGGAAAACTGGTTTGTTTGTTTTTTAAGCAAAATATTTGGTCCAAATCCCTGTGTTTGTGAAGTAATAGTATGAATCATTCTTTCAGAGATATAATAAAGTTAGAAATCTCATTTTGTAGTCCTTATTTAGTTTGATGTAACATTGTCAATTTCTTCCCGTCACTTGCTGTCCCTGTTGCCTTCCTGCCCAGAAAAGTTCTTAATTGTTTGGGGATCATGTTTGAAGTCCAAACCTACTAGTTTGTACACTTTTCTGTGCATGAGCGTTAGCTCTGCTTTAACATTGAAACCAATTGGCAAGAGATGTAACCACAAAGTAGTTTTATGACTTTTCTTAAACTCTTTTCCCTTTCAGTTTTTAGTCCCCTAGGCTGCCAACTCCCTCTTTTTCCCTTTATGGTCTTAATAAAATTTTTTTTTTAAATTTAAATGGGAAGGAGAATTTAAAATAGAAGGAAAAAATGTCAGAAATCTTAGAGAGGAAGGGTCTTTGTTGTGACTCAAAGCACCATTGTAAGTCTCCTCCTCACAGACCCTGCTAGGGGTAGGACAGCTGATGTCATGCCATTACACACAATGTAGATTCAGTGCAAAAGCGTCTGTGCATGTCAAAACTGGCCCAAGGTAGGAAATGACTGGGACTGCTGCAAACAAAAATGCTGATTATGTGTAAGGATCTGATGAGAGACTTCTCATAAATATCTAGTAAGAGATGGGTTAGGACAAGCTTATTTCTTTATGTCTATTCAGAAT